CTGTGAGATATTTTAGATAAGCTTTAACTGAAGTAGTTTGGTGTTTTCATGAAAAATAAATAGATAATTTTAAATTATATAACTAACTTAAAACTTTTTTTTCGCCAACTTCATACTTCTATGAACTCAACTTTTTTTAAATTAATCTTCCGAAAACATTTTAGCGTATCTTTACATTCACTTTACTACATATGAAATGTATATTAAGGAAAAGTATTGCGGCTGTGAACAAATTCGAATTCAAGAGTTTAATGAAAATATAGGTTTTACATTCGATTAAACAATCCTCTTAGTAAAAAGGACCAAGTTACGCAAAATTTCATGTGGGTTTGTGTGAGTGGGGGGAGTTGAGAAGTTTCTCTACTCAAAGGTAAACTTTTACAATCATTTGAAAATCTGACAAACCTAAAATATATATTGCTTCAACTTATCGTTCTGGAATTGTTAAAAAAAAACTATTTTACCACACTAGTGCGAGAGAATATGTAAAGGGGTGCCTCCGCTGGAAATATTTCAAGGACTGTTCATGAGTTGGAAAAATATATAGTAATAACCTCAGCCCCGTTAATAAATTTAAAATTTTAACTAGCTATATTTCAGCAGTAATTTATTTATTTACGTAGTGTGCTAAGTGAAAGTTGTGTGATGCTTACGCCGCACCAAATTTGATAATTTAAAACTTCTTTATACCAGACTGAAACGACAAGAAACCACTCGAAGTTTCCGATTACTTCAGCACTTACTAGACAAACTCTCTTAACTTCCAATTAATTACAAAAGACTCATATACATGACTATAATAAGGCCTATTTGTACTTATGGAGTTGAGCTATGGGGTTCCACTAAACCATCGAATTCCTCTCGTATCCAATCCTTACAATCCTTTCGTAAAATCCTTAATGCTCCCTACTTTGTTACAAATAAAACCATTCATAATGACCTGAATGTTTCTTATGTTTCAGATCTGGCCCAATCCATATACCTGTCCTTTCATAATAAACTTCAGAATCATCCCAACCCTCTCATTTCTAATCTTGCCTCCTCTTCAATTCCTGACAACCCTCCGAGGCGTCTGAAAAGAAGATGGCCCCGTGATCTCCTAATGTAGACGATTAGAGTGCTACCAGTGGGTAGTTACTCAGCAAGTGTTTTCACGTCATTATATCCATATGTTCAAATTTCCTAAATGTGTGTGTAATTTACAATTTACAATTGTATGTCAAATTTATTAAATTTGATTATTAAAATGTGTAACGCACGGTTGAAGTCGGCTGGAGTAGACTAATTGAAGTGTTTTTGCATTTGGATTAAAATATCTCAAAAACTAAAAATTGGACATGCATATTGTTAGCGAGAGAAATTTTTATGATTTCATCCTCTTTACAATGAGCTATAATGCAAAATTGTACCTTATCGCGACGTATCAGAGAGGCGAAATAGGAACAATTAGTGTTGAAAACCAAATTATAACAAGTTTTATTGAAGATATGGATTAAAATATCTCAGAAACTAAAAATCGGAACTGCATACTGTAGGCGTGGATCGTTCAGAAATTCATCCTCTCTTTAATGAACTGTTATTTATAATCTACATTTCATTTTATTAATCTCGCCTTGTTGATATATTCACTTCAGTCGAGTGGTCTAAAGCATATACCTTACTTAATTTCTGTTTCTTGTTTGTGAATGTGCTCAGTGTCAGCACCAACGGATCCAGGATTTAACTTTGGGAACGGGGAAGCAATGCTTCAGAAAGAAAGAAACTAGTTACCTATATGAAATGGTCTTTAAGTGATTGTTGGAGTCCTATCCACATCCACATCCACACATATATTATTACAGCAAGGCTCGAAATCGGTTTTGTACCAAATATAAGCTCCTGTCAGGTTCAAATACCATGAATGGGGTACCGTTGGATTCAGAATTTCACGGGGTGTTAGCGAATCGTATTCTCCACTTTTGTTTTTCTTTCTAAAATAAATAAAGTCGATACAAACATTTTGCTAGGCTTCAATACAGGAACGGTGGTAGGTCTGTAGATCGATACGGGACAAATTGGACCTTGAAGATTTTGATGTGTACAGTCGGATCCTGCGTTTTCAAGCACAAAAACGTACATTTTTCGAGATAACGCAAGGCATAGGGTTCGCATCCACACAACCTTACATTAATTGTAGTACTGCCGTTGAATACATGTCTCATTTCGTCGACTTGAGGCCTCTATGATCGAGAGAGGAGGAGTTTATATTATTCATCTATGGTGTTTTTGATCGGCAAGCCATATCATCGTTAATTCTTCACCAAATCTCAACATTGAGCCACCAATTTCGAAGGCTTTCTTCTCCTTCAGGCGGGCAAAATAGTCCAATCAATTCGAAAATTCAGGCAAACAAGTTATGAAAGAAAACACACTTTATTTGCGAATAACTAAAAAATTACACACTCTTCCCTTGGTTATGCCTATACTTATATAAAAGATTACTAAATTCCTTGAAAAAGGGGAAAAAAATTGGCAAATTCGGACAATTTTTAGCAAAGATACAGGTTATTGAAATTTGTAAACATGTTGGTTCCAAACATTAATGAAGATTTAAAATAATTTTTGTTTCCTTTGTCGTTTATATTTATCGATAAAGTAACAATTGATTTTCTTATCTTTTGATACGTGCATTGTTTTATTTTCTTAATAATTAGGCATTTGAAAACAATATGCTGTGCGAATTTTTCGCACGGGCGTACTAGTTTACTGTAATTAGGCGAACAATAATACTTTTAAAGATAATTTTTTTCATAAAACATGGTTACATTTTACCATTTTGGGGGGGCTTCAGCCCGAAAGCCTCTTCCTCCCCTCCCCCGTAGATCCACCCATGTATGTCAGTAATATAAACAGATTTGATTTAATTCATGTCGTATCTTGCCGGCGAATATATATTTATGTTAATAAAATCTCCAAATCTTTTAATCGAGAATCGTACCTGGTAACAATCAACCTGAGACGACAGCTCATTACCATCAGCAGCAAACAGATCCCGAGGGCGTGGGTGTGCCACAGTCTCCACCGTGACTTTCACCACTCGAAGTACTGAAAAACTTAACAGGTCATCAATGTTTCCATTCGTGAATTCTGTATATATTGACATTTGGTGAACTATTACTCCTACGAAGAGTGCTCATAAATGCGAATCCTCTTACTACATATAATAAAAAACGAACTATACGATCAAAATATTTCAAAGAGAAACCTCAAAAACCTCTTTAAAAAATTTCCTATAACATTGGAACATTAACATACATATAACAAACAAACATTAGATTCCAACAGTTGCCGGCTCATCATCCATCCTACTTCGTATCATCGCTTATATTATTTATTTTTTACCTCTACTGCTATAATCCATATGAAGCTCTCTGTTCAACAGTTGGGAAGGGAGTATTTTTTTTAGTAAAATGTACATGTTTAGTAAAATGTTATTTGAGAAGGAACATTGGAAGGACAGCTACTCACTATTCAGAACCTTCCCTTGCATCACAAGAGACTTCAAAAAATATTCCAAGGTCTACGAAATCAATTTTAATCTGCCTTGGAATGAATCAAACTTGCCACTTTTACCTCGAGCGTGCCAAGTGTAGATTTTGCCAAACTCCATAATATATTTTAAAGTAGCATTTGGAAATTACATAAATGTGTACCAATTTTCCATAAAAGACATAAATGTTTGTTGACTTATACACACAAAAGTAAACTTTTCGGCTTGATTTTTTGACTTTTTTTTTTTAAATGTAATGGTGTCCGAAGAGCTAATGATTAGTACTCGTTGCAATTAAAAAAAATCTTATGATCCTTTTTTTTAAGAACGAAGGAAAATTTTTCATTAAGTACGCGTAAATTCAACAAGAGCACTAAAAATCCACCTTCAAATTTTCCACCACGAGGAAACCCTTTGAAACCCGAGGATTTTATTCATTAATGTAGATTAATTCTTATTGATTTTCATTTTATTTCTGTTCTTAGAAACAATAGGGGAGGAGGGGAAGGGAGGCCAATATTCTCGGAAGAAGTGAGAATATTCTCGTCCCCTCTCTATTTTTATCGGGGGAGGATCGTCCAAAGTCTGCGCCCTATGGTTGGTAGTACCAAAAGTGAAATAGTTGGACCAAATTTATCAATACCTTCAAATCCAAATACCTTCCTTACAATACATCACACCTATTTAATATTCATTTGGTTGGATTGAGCAGAAATACAGAGTAAACAAATGCATTATGTATATTTTCTGTGGGCGTTGATGTGTTTCTTAGAATCTCTCGATAATGAAACCGATAGGAAGAGATTTTCTCTTCAACTCATCAGCACAATTGTAAATAATATGCAAAGTAAATATGAATTAGAAAGGTATTGGCAGATGTTAACAGTGAACATAAGGAAGCTGGTATCCCATCGGTTGCAACCAGAATACTAACGCAACCCCGAGGTCGCCATTGTCCGCCGAGTTTATTCGCGTCCCGAACCTTCCGCTGATAACAGCATTAATAATCGGTGGCGATGGTTGTTCAGGAAACTGTGGCCTTGGTATAATCAAGGGTCTTTTTAACTATATTTTAGGCTTTGGTAATACATCGAAAAATTATTTAACTATGATTTATTTTTTCCTGCTTGTTTGAATTCTTTTAATCAAATAATTAATCACAAGCTGGCACAATAATATAAAGTATCGAATAGCGGAATGAAGACGTATACATGCTTTCCGCTGAGAGATTTGTGATCTAAAAAAAATATTTTTAAAATTTAGTTTTCGAGGCAAAAATTAACTCAAACATCGAGTTTTTCCACAAATTTTTTTTCTGGTAGTACAGGTAGAGTTCAGACATTATTTTATGACTCCTTTTTATAGGCTTTCATTTCTTATCAGAGTACCCTCCTCGCACAGCGACGCTTGCGGTGTGTTGTTATTCCCGCCACTGCTAATGTACAATAACTGCTGATGTATAATTATACGTTAGAAATTATGTATCTGAAAATTAACTCTAGGAAATATTGAATTCGAAATAAATTAAAATAGTTTTCTATAAATTGGAATTTAGTGTCATAAAATAAATGGTGCATTTGGTGAATAAACTTTTCTGAAATTCAAACATATGATAGACCTATAAAAACCTAATTTTGAATTAAATTTTAAGTGGGATACTTAGGTTATTCGAATAAATTAAGTTTATAACATTGTTTTACCTAGAATGAACCCACAATGCTTTTCATCAGCAGAAAAACTAATCCCGTCGACGTACGTTCAACAGGCTATCGGCGCCAAGAGATCGAGGGAAAATCAAATCAGGATCTTAATAGAACAGAGGAAGTGGCCTGATGAAGGATGGGATGAAGCCACTATTGAATCTTTTCTCTATGACTTGGCAAATATGGATAGCAATAACTTTCCTAGTGCTTGTGGGGTAGGTGCCAGAGAAGCAAGGTTTGCCTGTGAACTTGTGGCACGAAGAAACTATAGAATGGGTCACGGAATTGGAAGATCAGGGGATATTGGAGAAGTGCAGCCGAAGGCGGCTGGGTCAAGTCTCTTGACCAAGTTGACGAACGCGTTGCTTCTGGATGTAATCAGATTCATGGGAGTGAAGAATTCAGCTGGATGTTTCATGGTTCCATTAGCTACAGGTATGAGTCTGGTCCTCTGCATGCTAACCATCAAGCAAGAAAGACCTGGTGCCAAGTTTGTGCTGTGGTCAAGGGTCGATCAGAAGTCCTGTTTCAAGAGTATCCTGACGTGTGGTCTTCAACCAATCATCGTAGAGCCAGTACCCAATGGTGACGAGCTTCGTACAGATATCCATGGTATTGAAGCCCAGATAAATACTCTCGGGTCAAGCAATATTGTCTGTGTACTCTCGACTACAAGTTGCTATGCTCCACGCAGCTGTGATTCTCTAGAACACATAGCCGCTATATGTGCACGCCATGATGTTCCTCATGTTGTTAACAATGCATTTGGTCTTCAAAGTGCTCGTCTTATGCACCTTATCACCGAAGCTGCTAGGAAAGGGAGGATAGATGCTTTTGTTCAAAGCACTGATAAGAACTTATTAGTCCCTGTTGGAGGTTCTGTGATATCGGGATTTGATAAAGCTCTTCTAGAAAGGATTTCCCGAAACTATGCTGGAAGAGCATCAGCCGGACCAATCATGGACATCTTTATAACTTTATTGTGGCTCGGCAGCAACGGTTATAGGAAGATGATTATGGAAAGGAAGGAAATGTTCAAGTACTTACGAGAGGAGATTGGTAAAGTTGCAGCAAAGCACGGAGAGCATTTGCTTGAAACGAGAAATAACCCTCTTTCAGTTGCAATGACTTTGACAAGCCTCACAGCTGGTGGTGATAGCAAAAGAGCTGCGATGCTCCACACCATGCTCTTCATGAGGGACGTTTCTGGAGCAGCGATCGTCACAGGGTGCGATCACCGCGAGATCGGTCCTTACACATTTGACACCTGGGGCACCCACAATACCTCTTCTCAGAATCCTTACATATCAACAGCCTGCGGGGTGGGGATGAAAAAAGAAGACGTAGATCTGTTCTGCTTTCGGCTCGACTTGGCCATTAATAAGCTGAAGAACAAACCCGTCAACTCTTTATCGCCACCTACTATTGATGAGATGTTGCCACCCGATCAGCTGAGCAGAACTAACGAGTCCGGGGACCAGGAAGCATCGGCTAATCTCAACATTATAACGAATAAGCGAATTTCCGATTGAATCATAATCTTACAAAATATAGGGAATCCTTATCGTTTCATCATTTCATCGTGTTTTAATAACAGTATATGCATATGTGTATAAATTAACATACATAAAACCATTTTTTTCAATTTAAGGTTAATGTAATACTTTCATTTGAAATTGTATGAACTTGCGAAAACACGATTAATTAAAAATTTGTTCTCATATAATTCTTTTTTTAAATCTTTATATGTTAAATATCTTTATATGCTAAACTATTTATTATGTAAGTAATGGTACATAATCGAGGTCAACATTCGTAGCCAGTTTATTTTGCATATCTTACAACTATCCAACCGAAAAAAAATTTGTGCTGAATTTAAATTATTCATTCGTTATCACCTGCATAAATAAATCTAAACCAACAATATTGTCCTTTATCCTTACAGAAATGATAATGTATCTCGAAATTTGAATAGTGTAAAATAATGAATTTCCAAGATAAATAAAATTCTTTACTCAATATTATTTTGACTTTTAATTCATGAGGACAGAAACAAGGTTTACAGACATATAAATTAAGGATTTAAATCATTTTTGTGGCCGGAAATCATTTATTTAAATTCTTATTGTTTATTTTTCGTTAAGAAATAAATCGAGCAGAGATCAATTAATAAAAATTCAAAAAGATAAGATTTAATAAGGTTAGCTTTAAAACTGAAGAAAATATTGTTAAGTTCCTTTCCGATAGATAACCGTAACAAACAGTATAGATAGTCAAGAGCTGCATTTTCCTGGAACAAAATAAAACTTAACAGATCAAAAAATGTTTTTATAAGATATTATTATGAGATAACTATAATTAACACAGCGGTCAGAAAATCAACTAGTGACAACAAAGTTACAGGCAATGGTCTTCGTAAAAAATATTTATGTAACATATAATTAGAACTGAATTATGAAGAATATATTCTCTGATTCACTTATAAAATGTAGTTCTTCTTGTTATTTAAATCACTGTGTTAAAGTTTTTTTTAACTCTAGGAGTTAGTCTTTAGTGATAATTACATGGTGAGGGCTTATTTCTTTGAAATAAGGAAGAATTGATATTTATCTATCCAGCATGAAAAAATCAGAGATTAAATTATTTTTCAACATAAACTTCTGATTTAAAATAAAAATTTGCCACTTATAGGTTTATAAACATACTTAGGACTCCACCTGGACAAACGTCTATCTTGAAATCCTCATACCAGACTGAAATGACAAGAAACCGCTCGACGTTTCCGACTCGTTCAGCACTTACTAGACCTTTTAATTAATTACAAAAGATTCATAGACATGACCATAATAAGACCTATTTGGACTTACGGAGTTGAGCTATGGGGCTGCACTAAATCATCGAAATCCTCTCGTATCCACTAGCGGATCCAGAGTTTAATTTTGGAGGTAGGAGGGCTTTAGCCCGAAAGATTTTTTTCCATATATATAACGATAATTAATTTGAAAAAAAGAAAGAAAGAAATGAACTACCTATATGAAATGGTGTTTAAGTGAGTCTTGAAGTCCTATTAAATTTAATTACACGAACAATAATACTTTAAGAGATTGTTTTTAATATTTTTTTCCTATAAAACATGGTTATATTTTACCGTTTGGGGGAGGGGGCTTTAGCCCGAATGTCCTCCCCCACCCCTCCGTAGATCCGCCTGTGTGCCCGTGTCCAATCTTTACAATCCAAAACCTTTCGCAAAATCCTAAATGCTCTTTACTTTGTAACAAATAAAATAATCCATAATGACCTGAATGTTCCATATGTTTCCGATTTGGACCAATCCAGATATCTATCCTTACATAATAAACTTCAGAACCATCCTAATCCTATCGTCTCTAACCTTGCTTCCTCCTCGATCCCTGATAATCCTCCTAGGCGTCTGAAAAGAAAATGGCCTCGTGATCTCCTAATTTAGATACTTTGTTAGAATGCTACCAATGGGTAGATTCTCTACAAGCCTTTTCATGTCATGTATTTCTTTGTATCACATTTAGTGAATGTACATTAATTTGTAGAGTTGTAAATTTTATAAATTATAATGAAATAAAAAAAAAAAAGGGTTTATAAACCTACAGACAAATTTTATCCTTGACGTCTGAAACGTAAAACGCGAGTGGAAACTTTCGATTCTGAGCACACAAATTTTTTTAACCTCTCGCACGAACACAATGCTTCCCTGCCTTCGGTAGTGAGGAAGCTATAAAAGTAGATATTGCCTTTTTCCAATAACAGTTTATTAAATACAATCACGAATGTTCAGGTTATCAAAGTTAATAAAAAAAAATCATAATAATCCAGAGGGAAGGCAGTGGATCAGCTGATGAGAAGGTTGTCTCCTCAACTCCTCTCTCAGTTTTTACCAATTTTATAGCGGAATCTCTCTGATTATTCACGTGATACAGTTAAAGTGTATATCAGAGCAGTTGATATTTACTGTTGGCATCTTTTTTTTTGTTATTTTAAGGAAAAAAAAAAAAAAAAAAAAAAAATTTTTTTTTTTCTTTTTTTTTATTTATTTATTTATTTTTCTCTTATGATATGCGGTATGATCAGCAAGTGATGGCCAGTAAGGTGCCCAAGAGGTCTCGGTCAGACGGAGTTAGCTCACCAGCCAAACAAAGGACTCGTCGCTGCCTACGAGAAATACCTCCAGTGACCAAAATGAACACTTCAGAACCAGAACCTCAGCCCCAACCAGGTACGTCTGCACAAGAAACGATTGAAGAATCACCTTTCTTTACTCCAAACCCCTACCAAGTGCTTCAAAATGACAAAGAAGTAATGGAGTCTGCAGCAATACCCAGAGAACCAAAGCCTCCTCCGATATTTGTGAAAAATATAAAAAATTTCCAGATGTTCTGCACCCAACTAAATAAAATCTGCTCTGGCAGTTATTCATGCCTTAACAGGACCAATGACACCAAGATAACACCTGATTCTGCAGAAGCCTACCGAAAAATAGTGAAGTACTTATCAGAAACAAATGCGAATTTTCACACTTACCAGCTGAGGCAGGAAAGAGCTTTACGAGTGGTGATAAGAAATTTACATTCCTCAACCCCCACTGAAGTTATTAAAGAAGAACTAACGACGCTTGGTTTCAATGTACGCCAGGTAACAAACGTTTTGAAGGAGGACAGGGAACAGCCAGGATTACGAAATAGGATCCCACTACCATTGTTTTTCGTGGACTTGGAGCCATCACCAGGTATCGAAAAAATATATGATATCACAAGAATATACTATACAATGGTGAAAGTTGAGAAGCCATATCCCAAGAGAGACATCGTGCAGTGCCATAATTGTCAGACCTATGGCCACACGAAGACATATTGCCACCATCTGCCGCGTTGCGTGAAGTGCGGTGAACAGCACAAATCTGTAGAGTGCACCAAACCTATACAAGATCCAGCAGTATGTGCCCTATGCTTGGAGGGACACCCGGCCAACTACAAAGGCTGCCAAATTTACAAGAATCTCAAAACCAGACACCAGAAAAACCGGATTCAAGATGAAGCACTAAGAACAAGAAGAGAGAGAGAGCCTTCCAGAATTGTAAACAATGATGTATCATTCTCCCAACTACTTAGAGGTAAGACTTTAACCGATAAATGTCAAGCCCTGCCACAACAACAACCTCAAACCCAACCTCAAAATCCTCTTCATCCTAATATACCTAACCACCAACAACAAATTCCTCATATTCCTCCTCCTTCAAATGCAACAGATCTCACAAGTTTGTTAGCATCTTTCCTCACCGATTTCAAATCCCTTGTTACTCCACTCATATCACTCCTCACGAATCTCGTATCTCACCTCATCCCTCCTTTGAAAAATCCTTAAATGACTCACATCCCTAAACCCATATCCATTCTCCTTTGGAATGCGAATGGTGTTAGAAATCATACAGACGAACTATCTACTTTACTACTTGACAAGAACATTGATGTGGCACTAATTACTGAAACTCGACTAACCACTAAACAGCACTTCAATATACCACAATACCTGACATATCGTACTGACCACCCTGACGGAAAAGCACATGCCGGTACTGCTGTAATTGTACACCAATCCCTCTCCCATCACCTACTCCCATTACCAATACATGATTTCCTACAGTCCACCGCTATCGTGATAAAAACCTTCTCCTTTCCGGTCACTCTTGCATCAGCGTATTGCCCTCCTAACCGATCCATATCCAATGCCCAATTCAGTTCTCTCCTCGACTCCTTAGGACATCACTTCATCTTGGGTGCAGACCTAAATGCCAAGCACCAACAATGGGGTTCCAGAACCACGAATTCTCGTGGCCGAACCCTGCTGTCTGCACTCAATTCCCAACGTTTTCACCTCCTTTCCCCCAACTCTCCTACCTACTGGCCCACAGATCCCAACCGTAATCCTGATCTTCTAGATTTCTTTATCCACAGCGGCTTAAGTCCCCTCAATTGTTCCATTACACGTCTAAATGAACTTTCCTCTGACCATAGTCCTCTAATCCTTAATGTTTCACTTGAACCTGTTCCCAAACCTTCTCCACCGTCATTCATTAGGGGCCCAGTAAACTGGGACCTTTTCCGCCAAATAATCTCCGATAATATTGATCTCAACATATCCCTCAAAACTCCCGATGACCTTGATAGTGCCGTAAATTCCTTTACTACCACAATCCAACAAGCCGCCTGGACTGCCTCCTTTCCAAAAGACTCCTCCAGAATTCCTATAAAGACCATTCTACCCCAACACCTCCTTAACCTAATCCGCACCAAACGCCGTGCCAGATTATTATGGCAACGATCCCGACATCCTACCGACCGCTGCTCCTATAATTACTACTGCAAACAATTAAAACTGGAATTAGCCACCTTCAGATCACAATCCTTCAACTCCTACCTATCCTCCCTCTCTTCTCGCGACAATTCCCTTTGGAAAACCACAACAAAAATCCTAAATCCTCACCGCATTTCCCATCCTCTCCGACGAGGTGATGGCTCCTGGGCAGCATCTGACGAAGATAAAGCTGAGGAGTTCGCCATTCACCTATCCAATACATTTATTTCACATCCGGAATCCCATCCTGCCCACACCGTAACAGTAGAAGAACTCCTTACATCACCAATCCCACTTTCCTTGCCCCCAAAAGCTATTCATCCTTCCGAAGTAAAATTTCAATTAAAAAAACTAATCCTCCGTAAAGCTCCTGGACATGATCTCCTTACACCTCAAATCCTTCGACAACTTCCATCCAAAGCAGTCATATTCCTTACATATATCTACAATTGTATCCTACGCACCACCCACTTCCCTCTGTTATGGAAACACTCCACTATTATCCTTTTCCCAAAACCAGGAAAACCTCTCAATAGCTCAACATCCTATAGACCAATCAGCCTACTCCCAATCCTTTCAAAAATTTTTGAAAAGATCCTTTTGAAACGAATCCTACCCATTATAGAATCCCAAAATATCCCTTCCCATCAGTTTGGTTTTCGCTCTCAACATTCTACTGTTCAACAAGGACTCCGAGTCGTTGATCATATTTCCTCAGCCCTAGAAAACAAGGAATACTGTTCGGGTGCCTTTCTGGACATTGCACAGGCATTTGACCGGGTATGGCACTCCGGACTGCTCTCCAAGCTTAAAATCCATTTACCTCAGTCCTTGTACCTAGTCCTCCGATCCTACCTCTCTGACCGCTCCTTTCGAGTTCGCTGTGGAACAGAATTTTCCAATATCTACTCCGTTAAAGCCGGTGTTCCCCAAGGCAGCGTCTTGGGTCCCGTGCTTTACATCCTCTTTACTGCTGACATCCCTGTTCATCCCGATACTTTTCTTGCAACATTCGCTGACGACACCGCAATCTTATCATCCAACTCTGATCCCGAAATAGCATCCTTAAATCTCCAAAGTCATCTCACCTTGATTGAGCACTGGTGTAATAACTGGCGCATTAAAGTTAATGAATCTAAATGCCAACACATTACTTTTACACTCCGACGCAATTCCTGTCCACCAGTACTCTTTAATTCCATCCAGCTTCCTTATTCAGACACAGTCCGGTATCTTGGCTTTCATTTAGACCGAAGACTAACTTGGAACCCGCATACTAGACTCAAAAGACAAGAACTCAACCGACGATACGGCCAACTATACCGACTACTAAGCAGAAAATCTAAACTTTCCATTGAAAACAAGCTACTGATCTACAAGACAATACTGAAACCTATTTGGACTTACGGACTAGAACTGTGGGGATCAGCAAAATTTTCTAACATCAAGCGCATCCAATCCTTCCAGTCTAAAGTCCTTCGAACAATAGTCGATGCTCCTTTCTATGTATCCAACAAAACCCTACATCATGACCTTAACATCCCATTTGTCCTAGACCTTATCCCAGAAAAGTTCTCCAAATTTCACCAGAACCTTACTTACCACCCAAATCCTCTTGCACAATCCCTATCAAGCATCTCCCATCCCTATAATCCTCCAAGAAGGTTGAAACGGCAGTGGCCTCGCGACCTATTGTAAATTATATAAATTGGAGTTCTGGCAATGGCCAGATTCTTCACTCAAGACATGTGTGTATGTGGCTAAAGTGCTCTCGACCAATCTCCGCTGGCTTTAGTACCAGTGACGCGGTTGGAAGAGTAGCGCAGGGTTCTCCTGGAGTTCCCTCGCCTGATTGTATATAGGTATGCATGTTATTTTTTTTTTTTTTTCCTTAGTTTTAATTTTCTTATTTTTTAGGTTATTCTATTTTATTGTCTATTGTATATACTTTTGATTATTATTTTGTTCTATTTATTTTATTTTTTTGTACATATGGTGTGAATGTCATCCTACCTCACTATAACCAATGTCGAACAGACAGATTGTTATAATACTCAATAAAGAAATTAAAAAAAAAATAATCCAGAAACTCATAGAATTTTCGTCTAAGAACATTATCATATGGTTAATATCAGTGTACCTGCCAAGAATACTTAGCCTATAGTAAAAGTATCAGATATTGCCCACATTAAGTAATAAGCAAACACAATAAGATATTTAATTTAGATTCAAACCTGATATTCCTCTTTGCAGAAGGAGTGAAAACTTACAATGGTTTCCAAGCTAAGTACGGCCATGTGATACGCTACTGGTTGGGGAACAAGCTGGCAGTGTTACTCTCAGATGCTGACGATGCTGAGGTATGTGGTAAAAACGTATAACTATTTTAAGTTGAAAAAATATTCTCGAATATTCATTTTCAGAATTATGGGCACCATATCATCAATAAAACTTATTACTCAAGCCTTAGCCATCCCCTCCCTCACAAAAAAAAATTATATATATTTACAAGTGAGCGTGGGTACATACCAACATAGACTTATCCCATTTTCCATAATTTGAAATGAAATGAAGAAATAATTATATTCTGGTACTATAGCCCCCTAAGAATAATAACACAGTTATATAATTAAGAACATTAGTCTGGCTAAGATTAATACAAAATGTTGCCTAATTAACTGTTGATTGTTATTGCAATCGTGCAGTTGATTGAATTAGATTTTGTACAGACACAAGTGAATTTTACATGTTTGCGGAAGTTTGAATATGGAGTAGATGGTGGAACAGGAGTTTTTTGAAGGAATTCGTGGACGAGGATTGACGTATAGAGTTAGGTAGGGAGTTCCAAAAGGAGGCAGCACGAATGACGAAGGATTTGCAGAAGAAAGTAGTTTTATGGGAGGAAATATATAAATCTATAGTTCGAGACCTGGTATTGAGAGAGTGGATAGAGGAAGGTAAAGTAAGGAGTTCCAGGATGTAGGGAGGATTTTGGTTCTGAGAAATTGGAAAAGGTAAACACCAAGGAGGAATTGTCGTCGGGAAGTAGGGCAAAGCCACTGCAACTCGGTCTAACTGAATGAAACATCGGAGCGCTTGTGGATTCCAAAGATGTATCTTATGAAACAGATGATGAGCTTCTTTAATCTCATTTCTAGCCTGGCAGATAGCCCTCCATACACCAAGCAGCCGGAGTCGAAGTAGGGGAATATAAGAGAGGTTACAAGGAGCTGTCTGGTTTTTAGAGGAATACAATCACGGAATCTTAGGAGTTGTTGAAGGACAGTTATGGATTTTCGTGTAATCTGGGAGGTTTGGTTATTCCACGAGAGGTTCTGGTCAAAGGTTACTCCTAGGTTTTTGAATATAGCAAAAAAAAAAAATAGATAGGGCGATTATTGAGATAAAGTATTGATTGACCATTTTCTATAAGCAGTTCTTTATTGGTATTTTTTCTCCGTGTGTCACTACCCTGATCCAAGATTGCTCCGGATATCGTGCGGAGGATTTTTTCTCTCAAATCGGTCTTTCCTCTAGGATACTGGTTAGTGTCAAGGTCTCATAGCCATATATTAGAAATGGCTTTCTCACAGCATTTTACACCTTTAATTAGAGATTTCTTGAAATTATTCGGGATCAATATCTTTGAAAGGGAGAAGAAAACTCTGTTTACGGTAGTTATATGCTGATCTAGTTCCGCCCATTGGTCATTCATTGAAGTTATTGTGGAGCTGAAGTATTTGAATTTTTCTACTCTCGGGAATGATTTTCCTTCGACGCACATCCTATAATTGGGGTGGAATTTTCGGCTCATTATCATATACTTTGGCCGATCGCTCTGCCTCTCTTATCAGTCTTAGCGAGTTCCTCAATGCCCTGTTCATAACTTCCAAAGACAGGTATATCATCTGCGTGTCCAAGAATTTTATGATTCATTCCGACGTGGCCCCTCTATTTCCATGGGATTCGGTCTTAATACCTTCTCAAGGGCTAAGTTGAACAACAATGTTGATTGCCTTTCTCCCTGCCGTAAGCCCGTTCGAACTTAGAAAGCTTCAGATACTTATCTTTGTGTTAGGACTCTACCTTTGTCGATCTTACCAACTTACCAGGAATTCCACCCAGTTCAGTCATGATTTTCCAAAGTCATCTCCTGTCCAAAGAATCATGGGCTGTTTCGAAATCGATAAATATGGCTTGGACGTCCTGAGCTAATTCCCATCGTTGTTTGAGTATTTGTTTTACGATGAAGATTTAGTCAAGTCTGTTCCTTCCTTTTCTGAATTCAGCTTGGTGGTCGCCTATTATATTTTCGTAATGGGGATATATGAGGTTCAGTAGGATATTGGTCAATATCTTGTAGACAACCGGAAGAAGTACTATGCCTCTGTAATTACTACACTCATGCATGAAGCCTTTCATTAGGATAGGACTTATTAGGCCCGTACTCCAAGTCTCAGGTATCCTTTCCTCTTTCCATATTTTCTGGATTATTTGTTATCTCTCAGTTATTGTTTTTAAATTTTAGTTAGATTAATTGATATTGGAAATTGATTCCAAAAATTTCAGCATAGGATTTATTAATTTTTTTTAAATTCCTGTTTTACTAATTTTTTCAAGGTTCTGTTTCGAGACACCCAAAACTTAGGAAAGGCTGACGTGTACAAGTTCATGCACCCATGGCTCGGAACTGGACTGCTCACCAGTACAGGTAATCAAAATATAATATTCATTAATTCATTCCTAACTAACATTCAGTTTGAATCAACATGAATGTTAATTCAGTTTGGAACTAATATTCATTAGTTCCAAACTGAATTAACATTTATTTGACTCATTTCCCAAAGTTGGTTTGTATCCATTTTCTTCTCTTTTTTTTCTAAATGCATACATATACTTTTAACCTTGTTGGTTAAAAATCATTAGAACCTGTTTCATTAGAAGCTACAGTTACAATTGTTTTTTTTTTAACTTTTTAAAAATGACAGATGTCCGTCATTGATATTAAACCACTCATATATGCAATGGTAAACGATTGGTAATATTACGCATATGACAACTAGAGGAACTTAATAACTATGACACACTACACTACCTGGTCGAGCATAATTTTTCATACTTAGAAATGAAATGAATATATATAATGATATACTTAAAGAATTACAATATATCCTATACGTTCTCTACTTCAAATGGTGTAAAAAACGCAGTTGGATTCGCTATTAATACAGTATACTTATAATACAAAAGCTAATCGTAGATTCGGTCTACAAAGCTATAGATGTAGGATAAATAGTTTTATTAAAATATTTTAGCTTTAATTAAATAATACTTTATTGATATACTTAATAATGCTTTTTAATAATATAGTTTTAATATAGAATAGAAACATTTTATTGGCCCATTTAGTGTTAGTAGGGATTAGTTTTATAAGTAGAAGAAAATGAGTAAATAAGTACAGTATAAGAAAACAAAAACAAAAATATTTTTATATAATAAACATCATAAATATTTTTATACTCCAAATATTTTTACTATTTATGAAAATCCACGAGTTTTGTTCATCAGCAAATACTAAAATGCGAAAGAGTTCCGCACTTGCAGATTACATATTTGATGAATCGAGATTAAAAAAAAAATCGAGAACATTGAGTGTTTTACAGAAAAGCATAAAAACTAATTGTTTCTTATGATTTATTAGTATAATTTCATAATTTATTGCCCTCTGCTATTTTTCATCGTAGCAAAATGTTTGCTAATATCAGTTGCAGAATACAAAATGCCACCTTTAGCACAAAAAGAATTAAAAGTTGAAAACTTTTACATAAGACCTTTTACATTAACAGTAGTAATATGTACTTAATCAGCATATTCATTGTTGTTATATAACAAATATCATAAATGAATAAAAATACATATATACTAAAGAAAATTTACAATGCAGAGCACAACAAAGCAAAATAAATAGAGATCTTAGGGTTACAACGCACATGTAGAATCGTACAATTATAATAATAATATTTAAAAGGCACCTAATTGTGAATAAATACACGTACGCCCACGAACATATGAACACATGCCTGACTGACCTAAAGCTGAGGGTTTGTACTTGTGTTGATATCACAAACACATATTATAAAATAAAATATTTTGTTTAACTGGTCAAGATTTTTTATATCCAACATACACTCCAGTGATAAATCATCTGTGACAGCCTGTATATGTGTATGTAGGTATTTCCTTCTATGTGTATTCAGAAACAAACACTCCAACATCAAGTGCTTTAAACCGTTATTGATAAGTTGGCCGCACCACTTGCAGACTTTGTTTGTATTTATAACGTAAGTAATGTTCTCATAGAGCAATTTTAGATGGTCGCTACCCAATACTCTTAAAATAATATAGTTTTAATATGTTTGTCTAATATTAAAATTATATAGTAATAATGTTGATAAATGTTAGACTTTGTTGGTCGTCAAGTCTACGATGGATTTCAGTCAGAACAAAACTAATTAAGCTGGAATATAAAAATATTTTCGAAGTTCACACAACTTTTGTGTTTAAGGTGAAAATCGAGACCACCAAGTTGGTTGAACTTCAATAGAAATAAACAAAATCACAAATAAGATTTTTTTTTTTTACAAACAAAGTTAAAAATTAATTTAAATATACAGAACCTAAGTAACGGCAGTATCATGCCCGTAATGTTTGGAGCCGACCAAACAATACATTATAAATTACCTTTTTGAATAAAACCAAAAATTTTATAATCCCATAAAAATAATGTCTTAACCGAACTTACACCCCAGATGATCAATGCCTTCTACATTTCACAGCCATTATTATATTATTAACGATTATTTATATTAATTTTAATTATCAAATGGAATTCAATGAAATTGATACTGGGTTATTTCTATACTATTTCCAAATTTCCTCAAAGTTTGGCTCAAATCGAATAATAAATTTCCTGATCTGAAAGTGGAAGTTTTTTTGTTTTGTTTTTTGGAGTAGAGGACAGAATTTGATAAAATTCATGAATACTTGGTTATTTGTTTACCAATCCCTAAGTTCCCACCAAATTTGAGCCAAATCGAACGGCGATTTTAGAAAAACACGTTTACGTACGAAAGTAATAGACAGAATTCAATAAAATTGACACCACATTATTTGTTCACTAATATCTGCATTTTACCAACGTTGAGCCAAATCGAATGAGCCGTTTCTGAAATATTGGCATATCTATCAAAATACATTTACGCTCGCGCAAGTAAGTGGTGGATTGAATTTGATAAAATTGATATAGGACCGTCTAGACACCAACACGCGCAATCCCTGAAAATTTCATGAAAATCGGATGAGAGGTACTAGGTGATATGCTTGTCACATCAATTTGATTACAGACAGACCGACAGATGCCGAAACAAATTTGATTTTTGATGTCCGAAACGTAAAACGCGCGGAAAAATTTTCGATTCTGAATACAAATTTTTGTTTAAGCTCTCGCACAAGTACAATACTTCTCTAGGTTCGGTAGTGAGGAAGCAAAATTTCTAGTATTTAATGTATCTTATTCTACGATAAATAAAAAAGTTGAACAGGTAGTATTACTTTTGGTATCTTTTGCAGGTCATAAATGGTTTCAGAGGAGAAAAGCTATTACTCCTACCTTCCATTTCAAGGTATTGGACCAGTTCATCGAAGTGTTCGAGAGGAAATCCACCATCTTGGTAGAATGCCTCAAGAGTATGGCAAATGGACAATCGTTTGATATTCATCCGTTTGTGTCCAGATACTCACTTGATGTGATTTGTGGTCAGTATGATTATAACTAATTATTAGCCTACTTTCATACTAATTAGGGAAAAGACAAACCGATCATCAAAATGGCGTTTTTTTAAATCTAATTAAAATCATAATTCGTCTGTATTCATACTTAACATAGAAGAGAAAAAAAACAAGCTGCTTCGATACTAATAGAAGTACATTACTTTTATTTTTTTAAATTTCAAATGAAACTGACAAAATACAATTTCCAATTACAGAGACAGCCATGGGTACTTCGGTGGACGCGCAGAACAACATAGAGTCTGAGTATTTCAACGCTATTCGCACGTATGATATACATTTAAATAAAAGTAAAAATTCCTAATCAATCCCTTCTGAATTGTAATAAACATACAATAGCTTATATTAGTATACTACAACACTTAAAATTGACAGTGAAACCAATTAATGTCCATATGAAGTGTCATTTGAAATCATACATTTAAATTATAACATTGTAACATTTCATAGATTCCATTTCGTTTTCTATATGTTTTAAATGTTTCGAACTGTTCCAGTGTGGCAGACTGCATTGTTACCAGAATACTTAAGTTTTGGTTGCATCCTAATTTCATCTACAGGTTTTCACGACTCTCAAAACAGCACGATGCTGCACTCAGAGTTGTGCATGGTTTTTCGAAGAAAGTGAGCAATGATTAATAAAATATATTCTTTCAAGCAAATTTCATATAATATCCTCTCTTAAGTAAGTTGGTAATTGAATCCCTTTTCATACCCACAGGTCATCTCAGAGCAAGACAGGCTAAATAACAAGGAACAGTTGCATAATGACAAAGAATCCGATACAGGTTAGTTTACTCTGGTACAAATTATTTTTTCATATCAAATTTATTTCTGGAATAAGACAATATAATCAGAGTTTGCTGTTTCTGTACTTGTTTTATTTTATTTTTTTCTTATAACGGTAATTATTCTGGAAGAAAAAAAATCTGGTCTTTCTCCCTTTGGTTTTATCCACAACATGATTTAGATGAGTCGGTTCTTTAAAGGAAAAACAAACTTCTAACTAGACTCCAATATGCTTAAATATCTTTATTTACAAAGACGGTAAACTACAAATTCCGCAAAGCTGTGATAATAGAATAGTGTATTATTTTTCTGATTGATACAGCTGTATTAATGATTAAGGGTTCGATAATAACACTAGCGGATCCATTTTTCGCTTTGATGTACCCTTAAGGACTAATCGTTGAAAAAACAAAAAAATATGGCAAAAGTTTTTCTCTTGGTGGCCCGCGTTAACAATTTTTTTTTTTTAACATGTTCGAAACCATATTTACAATTTAGAAGAAAACCTCACATATTTCGTGATATTTTTTTCTTTCCGATCTTCAAGTTAGTGACATAAAATTCTTTAAATCAGCCGTAAATTTTTTAAGAAACAGCTCGGAATGGCAGACAAGGTTCATTTTACTTATACTTATAATAACATACACTTTCGTAATTTACATTCAAATCTTTGCCTGCGATCAGGTCGATTTTTGTGCCCTGTCTCCAGGTTCGAAGTTAGTTGAATTTTCCTAAACAATAATATTTCTAGAAAAATCACAATTTCATACCCGAATTGGTCACAACATAATTTTACTTAGCTTTATACTTCAATAATAAAATATATAGAATTATTTAGTATTCGAATCTAATTCGATGTACTTACCATCATAGTATACAGTTTATTGTTTATACATCTTTATCAGAATATATCATTTTTTTTAAGGTATAAAAAAACGAACAGCATTTCTTAAGCTATTGATAGAAATGAAAAGACAGCAAAACGGAGCATTTACTTCTGAAGACGACATAAGAGAAGAAGTGGATACATTTATGTTTGAAGTAAGAATAATTAATTAACCTTATAAAAATATTAGTCTACATTACCCGTATGAAGAAGTATACATCCATCAGGAAAATTATAAAATGATACCTTAATTGCAAAAGGGAAAATTACTTATACCATGAAGGGTTGTATCAATACATCGTTCATCCAGAATGAGAAAGACACAAATACAAAACAATTGAAATAACTTACTAACATAAAAAAATGTAGTGTTAGTGCATTTATCCACTAGCGGATCCAGGATTTGATTTCGGGGGGAGCTTCAGAACTCGAGACCTTACTGACTTCGGGTCTTGCATGAGTTACAAATACAAATTCTCAGATTCAAGAAAGTCTCTAAAGGACCATTTACAACAATCATTAATCTTGACTCAATGTCGAATTTTGCCAATATATTGATTATGTAAAGAGTATATTAGAACTAGAGACCGGATTTTCGAGCAGTGAAAATTCGTAAAATGTGTAGTAAAAAACTCAAAATGTGCAAAATCGTGCAGAATAAATCCAAAATACGTAAAATTATGTATTTAACACCTAAAAACGTGTAAAATCATCAATATTGCTTAATTTATAACATTAGTACATCGAAATCAAATTTTGAAACAGATAATTATCAGATATTGAGTTAATCGAGAGATAAAAAAAAAAAAAAATGAAATTACAGATTATAATCAACTATTATAATAACGATTATTATCAAATAATGCAGAGTACTGAAGGTTTGAAAGAATAAATTAAGGCAGGAATTATACTTGCCTACGTATGTATTACATAGATCAGACCAATTTTAGATATATAACTTTTATTAAAAATTATAATGAAAACTTTATTTTCTAATAGATTTGAAGTTTCCAATATTATACATTCCCAAACGTTTTTGTTAAAATTTAAAGAATTTTGAAAATAATTGAAATAGATTGTAATGTTTTGAGATTTTCAAGTGTTCAAAAATTAGTGTTGAAGCTGTTTTTCTATACGTTCTATTACGTTCTTTCTAAAAAAAAAATCAATTCTTTGATAAGAATATTTTTTTGTTACTTGTTTCCCAATTACATCTATCAGTGATTTCCTATCTCCTGATCGATTCATAAGGTGTATAGAACTTTCTCATCAAATTCTTTGTTCTCACAATTCAAATCGGGGTATTTTTATATCCAGATTTTAATTTTTAACGGGAGACTAGATTTTACTTTCAGCAATATAATTTTTTTTTTATAAGAATAAAATTCCACGAATCAATTCAAAGCCTGAAGTGATACTGAAGGGTTGAACGGTGAGTGAGGATTCAAGCCAGAACAATAATTATAAATATATTAATAACAAAGTAGCCTAGGAAAGCTTATCCAATACTTCAGGCAATTTATATTCCATGAATAGATCTCACTTGTGTTTACTTCTTCCTTTTGTAATGAATACGATTTTTGTTTCACACAGAATCATTTGCCTTCCTTATATTTTTCTATTTTGAATAATGAATTTAATTTGAACAATATAGTAAAATAAATATTAATACACTCAATTATACATTTGTATTTATAAATCATCTAATTTAGCACATAAGTGCAAACATGTGCAATTTAATGCAAAAAAAAAAACCAAAATAGTGCAATTTAAGCCAAAAACGACTACTATCAGCCGTGTTTTGCTTAAATTGCAAAACGATGTGGTTTTCAAGGATATCATTAGCCCCTAGGATTAGCAAACCAACAAGCTTAATTCATTGAATTGTAGTATAATTTTGACCTGTTTGATGCTGTTCTTGATAACCCTCACAGTAAGTAACTATCTCTATTGGTAAAAGTATTTTCTAAAATTACATAATTGTTGCAGGGGTTTGATACCACAGCTTCCGCAATTAGCTTTGCTATTTATGAATTTGGAAGGCACCCAAATATTCAAGTAAGTTCACAAAACCTGTACTGATTTCCTAAATCATAAGAAGGCTAAAATTAAATTACTCGATTACAAGACATAAAATATATATACAATTGCCCAATACATAAAACAGTGCAAAAATCTACTCTAGCAAGTTTTAATTTTGAAACACGCACGCTGTTTTTCTCTCCGGATCACGATGTTTCATACTGATGAGTGATTATCGGAATTCGGTGGTCATCCTTGCATTGGTTCTTTCTTCGGACTCCAAAGTTGAACAGTCCGAGAGCCCGACCAAACAAATTGACGTTATTTAATGACAAATTTGAAAGCATTTTAATATAACATTTATTATTTAAAAAATTAGAATCTGTAAGTCCGATCATGCTGCCTGAAAAATTGTGGCTGATTTAAAGAACATTAGGCCAGTCAGTAACTTTAGGATCGAAACGGTAAATTTATTGCGGAAGATATGGAAAAATTATTTATTTTTAAACTTGTAGATATGAGTTACAACGTGTAAAAAAAAAATTGCTAACGCGGGCGACCAAGGGAAAATGTTTCCTGCCAAAAAAAACCAGCTATTTCACTCACACGGAGCGGGGTAGCTCAGTGGGGGAGCACTGACTTCCAGAGCTCAAGGTCCCAGGTTCGAATCCGGCTGATTGTAATTTTTCATCAGACGTGGGTCGATCTTGGGGTGGGGAGACCCTCCTGGAGTAAACCCAGCCTCTAAAGTGGGTACTCTTAATTAAATAATTAATAAAGGGAGAAAACCTGGCTGTTGAACGTGATATTGGTCCGTCATCTTCCTGCACAACCGTTGGCCTTGTAACAGTACTTTCTCACATTGTACTAAATCTATAATCCTTCACGGGTTGTTTGTGTTACAGGTTTTTTTTTCACTAATAACTCTTTAACAGTGCTTCGAAGCGAAAAAATACTCGTTAAGAAATAAAAGCACATTAAATTGTGCGTCGAATGAGTACATAAACTTAATAATTTGTTAAAGTGGTATGGTAGGACACCACGATCAACGAACACTGAAAAACTTAGACAAATTACTATACATGGTCCAGTAGCTTGGAAATGATTTCCTAAAAATTAAAACGCATAGGATAAAAGTTGTGGAGCATCAAATTCTGCGTCCATTGCGTATCAACAGTTTTAATATATGTCAATTATATCTCTCAAACCCGGATTCGTTAATGAAATTAGGTTTGTTTTGATACCTCTTTTATCAAAATCCTTCGCTACTGAAAGGTGGAAAGAGTCCTAAACTGTATATATCAGACTCTGAAAAAGAATATCTCAATAGAATTGGCATTCACACTGTTGAAATATTTAAAATAACAGATACATTTATTACCAATTTCCAGCCATCGGTAGACTACCTATTTCGAACAGAATAAATGACCTACATTAAAACTGTTGGTACTCAGTGGATGCGGAATTTGATTGTGAGTATACTCTGAGTAGGCAAGCGTTAGCGATTTTGTTTTTTACAAGTTAAAACCCAAGTTAAAACCCAAACAAGTTAAAACAAGTTAAAACCCATATATACAAGATAAAAAAATAAAAACTTCCCGTTTCAATCCTCAAGTTACTGGTTAAATTAATATTCTTTAAATCAGCCACCATTTTTACAGGTAAATTAATTCTACTGTTAGAATATAGTTTTTTATTTTAATACAAATGTTATGAATATTAAAAATAGAAAATGCTTTCAAAATATTCATCACATTGTCAATTTTTTTCACGGCCTCTCGGAAGAGAAGTGGGCTGAACACACCAATGTCTCTCATCTATATATAAATGACTTGTCTTAAAATCCTCTATTTCCCGTTAAAAATTGTAAAATCCAATAGTCCAAGGAGATTAATGGCGTTTTTAAGCAAGATTGGACGGAGGGTAGTAGTATTTTCTTAGGGAACTACCCATCATGTCGCCCATCCCCGTCCAAATTCCTCAATAATACTCTCTAGGATTATTTTCTTCCATTTGCTTGAATTTTCGACAACCCTTAACCACTGATTCTACGCAAATCCTGTTGATCCTTAATCACTTCTCGCAGGTTGACAGGCCGTCGCGTGGGCAGAGCTACGGAGGCATTCGCACGGGCTCGCGACGATTCAGGGACAACATAAAGAATCCATAATACTTTTGACAAGTCTCATTTCTATCAGCTTTCTACTTTTTAATTCATTCCTTTGCTTGGATCAGAGGTCTCTAAAACATTTTGGACCACGGCCCACATTAAGACCTCCACAAAGTCCTGCGGGCCGCACTGATCCTCAACAAGCCTCGCGGGGATGGCTTTAGATGTATTTTACCTACAAGATAACGATCGACAACCCACTAAACTGAATACATATGTATTACAAAAGTAAAATAGACGACCACCAAGCTGGATCCACAAGAGGAGTTACATCAGATCTTTATCCTAAAACAAGTGCTTGAAAAATGGAAAGTAGCCTAGGATGTGCACGTCTTATTCTTCAATTTCAAAGCAACCTACAGTTTGAATGGACAGAAACTTTCTTGAAAACCCATCATTGAATAGGGAGTTCGCAGTGAGTTGGTGAGTTTTTTGAAATCCTGTACAAATGATCCTAAATATCAAGTCCTAATAAAAGGAGAAGTATCTGAAGTCTTCACAGTTCCAATTGGATTATGGTAGGAGATGGAGATCTTGCAATGCTGTTCAAATTAGCACAGGCGGCATTACAACATGTAATAACTAAGCGGTATACATCCAGTGAATCAAAAATCGTTCAAAAAAAAAATGAATGAATCTGTTCTTGGAAGTAATCAAGAGAACATTGACAAACCAGCTGAGACCCTGATAAGGGAAGCAGAGCAGATCGACCTCAAATAAATGAAGATAAAACAATGTAGTCCATGGTACAGGCCCCTTTTTATCAAATTATCTACATCCGTCTAAAACTTTCTGAATGGCTTCATCTTATTGCAACATAAAACTTTTTTTTATATATGTAAATTCTCAGAAATGGGAAAATTCCTCAATAAATTAATTGATTCAATGATATACTAAAAACTCATTTGTTTTCCACTTGAATCATAAGATAATTTGATCACAAAATCAAGAAAAAATGTGGTCAACAAAAGTATTAGGCTGTGTAGCCTATATAACCTTGTTATTTTGACATGTTGGTGATAGAGTATTTATTATTTTGTAAATATCTAAAAGTATTGAAATTCCTATAAAATCTCACATTATAAATATACGCCAATTACCTTATCGTAAATTTAGGGAATTTCCAAGCTCAATTAATTACCTGTCTGTAATCACCAGAAACATACAGAAAAAAGTTTCAAAAGTTCCAACCAGAAGCTAAATTATAAAAAAATTGACCTAAAACCATAGAAAAAACAGTTAAAACTTCTTAAGTATCAATAACAAATCAGGACGTGAAGTTACAAATATTGACTTAATTAAAATAGGGTATGGGATTACATATCATTTTTTTTTGCAAAAAGTCACAAAGTACATTTTCAACAGAGCTAAACTTTTTAGTATGCTTTTTGAATTGATATTAATTATCTTTACAAAAACATAGTAGGTGCATCTCACATGTCACATAAATCCTGGTACTAACCACAAAATACCAGGTGCACAATGTTCTGATTTGGCAGAAAAAAAAAATTATCTAAGTTCTTAGGGATGTAAGGTTATGAAATGTTTCTTTAAGACTTCTTGCAATAACCCCTTTAGACACAAATTGAAAAATAATTTAGAATAGTGTCATAACTGTCAAATTATAGAGATGAACAAAAAGCAATAGCACCAGTATCATTACTAATTATAAACATAGATTTCGGCTAGGAAACAATGATAATAACTGAAGCAACAGTTCTACAACAAAAAACTGGAGTAAAAGACATCAGCAGCAAATAAGTGCTGTACCATGTAGACAGACAATATTACTAAGTCAACCTACAGTGGATATACAAGCACTAGCACCACATTAACCAGGAAGAAATAACAGCCATATGCAATTCTGATCAACCTATAACAATTTATTATACATAAAAATTTAAGTTTTTTGTAAGAAATATAAAAACATCAAATCACTTTAAAAACTGTAAGCTATTTCATTTTAAACATGAAAATAATACATTAAACATATAATTAAACATCACATCACTCACTCCATCCCAAATTTTAATCATACTTTGACAATAATTAAGATAAATACATCCATTAGTGATCATTTTTTTATAATGCTTGAAATATCATTTCTAAAACTTTATTCATATTATTAAATTCACAAGAAATATTTGGTTTCCAAGTTGATCATCCAACTTATTTACTAGCACTCTCAACCAAATTAAAAAGACAAGGAAGATTATATCCACATAATAGCTTTTTCAAAACTAATCAACCTATTTTGAAAACTAGAGCAACGGCTAACAATAAAAAAAAACATTAAATATAAATATTAACAAGTAAAAAAATCTTCCATGTGTAACCAACCTACATATGGACCACTTATAACAATTTTCCCCAACATACAAATTAATAATTAGGAATTAGTAAAATTGATTGCCAAAACTTGTCAGAGGATCACTATAGCCAATGTTATCATAAGAGAATAATAACTAACGTATTTCGGAATCATTAATTTCAAAACGTATATACCATAATGTTTATATTTATATGTAAACACTTGCAAGCGATTAAACATAACAGCTGTAAAATATGATAAAATGAAAAAAAAAATTTTTGCATATACTATTCAATAAAATATTCAAACTTAAGTTATAAAGTATTTCAAAGATTTCTAAATTAATCTAAAATTAATTAATCAATAAATTTATCAATATTGTTTTATTGATTTTACATTGAAGATCGATTATTAATTCTCGTTCCGATAAGATTTCAAACCGAATCACTACATATTTAAAAATAATGTTTTCGGTTTTAATTATTATTTTATAAAACTCAAAATATAAAATCTATGTATTACACTGTGAATATTATTACAACAAACTTTGAGGGTGTTGAACGATTATGTCCAGGGACTCCACCATCAGTCTTCCCTTAGCTTAGTGTTCTTTGGGTTGGTACCTTCTCTTTTTAAAGCCGTGAAAATTTATGTTTAAAGCTTAATGTTCTAGTGTTATTATTAAATGTTAATTACTTAATTAGGTGAACGTACATATTATTTATTAGCAAAATAAACCATTTTCAAACCCATACAGCCTGGAAGGCCATCAACCTCTTGAATTGATGTTTTAACCTACTTGCAGTATGGCGGCACCCATACTAAGATGGAAAAAAGTGACCGACTCAGCTGGTCCACAACCTAGGCCTAGACATGGACATAGAGCTGTCGCAATCAAAGAGCTTATTGTGGTTTTCGGTGGAGGAAATGAAGGCATTGTTGATGAGCTACACGTATTTAATACAGCTACTAATAATTGGTTCATACCGGCGCTTAAGGGTGACATACCTCCAGGATGTGCTGCTTTTGGCATGGTTGTCGATAATACCCGAATTTTGGTGTTTGGTGGTATGATGGAGTATGGCAACTATTCCAATAAATTATATGAATTGCAAGCTAGTCGATGGGAGTGGAAGAATCTAAGACCCAGATCCCCACATAATTGTCCACCACCTTGCCCAAGATTAGGCCACAGTTTCACCCTGATTGGTAATAAGGTATATTTATTTGGAGGATTAGCTAATGATAGTGATGATAATACCCTCGATCCTGTAAACCCAGCTTCAACTTTGACTTATCTCAATGACCTTTATGTACTAGAACTCTGTCCAAATTATTCCACTTTATGGATTAAACCTTGTGTGTTTGGGACCTTTCCACCTCCTAGAGAATCTCATTCTGCAGTGGCTCATACAAATTCAGAAGGAAAGTCTAGATTAATTGTATTTGGAGGAATGTCTGGCTGCCGACTAGGTGATCTTTGGATTCTTGAAATATCAACAATGTCTTGGAGTGAATGTATAGTTGGCGGTATTCAACCTTTACCAAGATCACTGCATTCGAGTACTGTTGTGGGTGATAAAATGTATGTTTTTGGTGGATGGGTACCTATGGTAATGGAAAATAATAAATTTGGAACACACGAAAAAGAATGGAAATGCACTAATCAGTTGGCTTGTTTAAATTTTAAAAAAATGGTTTGGGAGAATCTTAGTCAAGATAACACAGAAGAAAATATGCCTAAAGCTAGAGCCGGTCATTGTGCAGTCAGAGTGAATGAAAGAATTTATATTTGGTCTGGCCGAGACGGTTACCGTAAAGCTTGGAACAATCAGGTATGTTGTAAAGATATGTGGTATTTAGAAGTTGAGCAACCCAGTTCCATGAGTAAAGTGCAGCTTGTCAGAGCAGCAACTAATGATTTAGAAGTTTGTTGGAATCCTTTACATTCTGTAGAGTATTATCTTTTGCAAATTCAGAAGTATGATGTCCCACCATCATCTCACTCAGCATCTGTCATTCCATCCAAATTATTTTTGCCTAAAATGCCTACATTAGACTGCACTAATAAAATACCCAAACCAAGAGATCCTGCTCCCAACCCACACTACATGCCACCAAACCGCAACGTTTTCAAACCTCTTATAAGGCAAGTGGTAAAGTCTAACGAGTCACCATTATCAGTTTCTGGAAATGTTCAAATACCTGAACCAGTTCCCCCAACTGCTGCTTTTAGTCCTCATTCATTAATACCAGTAATGGCGAATTCATCAAATCAGGGGCAATCAGTTAAAAGCTGTATAAGCAATACCAGTATGTTAAAGTCTTCATCCTTACAAAAGTTTTTATTACAACAACCTGTGACTTCTGGGCAGTCCAAAATAGTCACTTTTGTCAAAACTAATAAAAAAGTTTCCATGCCTACTGTAAACATTATACAAAACAAAAGTGGGATCGATATCATATCTAGTGGGAGTAGTGGAATTAACCAAGATTCTATAGTCAAAGTAGTCAGTGGTACAGCAAGTCCAGTGGTAAACTCTAAAGTTGTCAGTACAGTAAAGCTTTTACAGTCGAACATGGTCACTGTGAATAAAAACTCAAAAGGAGCTAAACAGCAAACCATTATAATTAATAAACCTGGAATCAAAATGCCTTCTGGTCAACAATTAATTGTTGTGACAACAGGTTCAGCAGTTAGACCGATCACAACTTTAACTGGAGCTCGTAGTTCTCTGGAAAAAGATAACACTGTTAGAATGTTGATGATGAATCAAAATCTGACTGGTTCCAACATTGGAAAACCTATAACCATTTCAGTTCCTTGTTCTGGAGGTACAAAAACACTCACCATAACTGGAAAAACTTCTTTAAGTTCAGCTTCACATATTCTTCAACAATCTGCTGATTTAGGAATTCAAAATTTTAAATTGCAAACAACAGAGAAAACTGCAGCAATAGATTCTAGTATGGAGAACTTAAATAATGAATCAGTGAATTGGTCTGCTCAGGGTATTAAAAGTAACTTTGGGTTTTTGTCTTCAAAACCGGAGAGTGACAATAATTTTGTATCTTGTAATAGCATAGCAAATAGTGTTGATCCAGCAACTATTTCCGACTTTGCTGCTGAATTTAGCACAGTTAAAACTGAGAATAATATGTTAGATCTTACGAAAGTACAACATTTCAAGAAATCTGAGATGGACATTGATTTACTTAGGCCTGAGTTAGGATCCAGCATAAAATCAGAATCTGATACTAAGACATTCCATGGTTTAATGAATTCATATCCTGTTGATATTTTACCTAGTATTGTTCCGCCTCATTCAGGAGTGTTTGGAACTTTGATGAATTCAAAACAATTGGATTTTGGCATTAATGATAATTTGAGTGATTCAAAAAATGAAGATAAGGATTATTTAAGAAATGAATCTATTTCTACATCTTGTAAAGATAAAAATGTTCTAACTTCAGCAGCACCAACAACTAGGAAAGCAGCTGATGGACTTATCACTTTGGCTACTGCTGCTCTTACCAGTAACATTTTCTCCCAGTCCCCAGCTGGTGCTGAAGAAAACCCAGCCTCTTCTAATCTTGTAAATGAGCATAATTCTCTAAATTATGAAAGTTTAGTGCCAAACAGCTTTAAAACTGAAGTACAACAGACTTTAAAAGCCATGAAGCCATCAAGCTCTGACATAAATGAAAATAAAACAGATAAACTTTATGGGTTACCTGCTGCCCCATCATCTGTTAAAATATCGAAGTGTAATGAAGGTGCTCATATTAGTTGGTCTCCCCCTCCTAGTGAAGGTGCTCCCATCATATCATATTCAGTTTCATTAGCTGTTCGGCATTCTATTCCTGAATCAATGGGATTCGTAAGGGTTTATTTAGGACCAAATACTCAAGCCATCATTCCAAATTTAGCCCTTCAAGAAGCTAAAATAGACACCTCATCAAAGCCAGCCATCATTTTTAGAATAGCTGCTCGGAATAAAGTAGGATTTGGACCTGCTACACAAGTGAGGTGGTTGCAAGAAAGTACCCCAAGGGTATTGGAACCATTTTCTAGTCTTTTACCGCCTTCAAAAAGATTAAAACTTATGGATAATTGAACATTTATATCTTTCTCTTTTCTTTTCTTTTTTTTTATTTTAGCATCTTGAGATAACTTGAGATTTAGTCAAAATGAGGAAGTTATCTCAATGATATAAAGGCTATTGTTTCATTGATCAACTGAATCTTAGTATGTTTTAAAGGTAGATTGTAATTTGTCACTAAAGTATTGTAAATACTTAAAAATGTGTTATTGTGTTTTTAATTTATACTACATGTAAATTTTTCAGGAAACACAATCGATGTAAAATATTTTAATAATGTTGAATTTTTAAAAGATTAAAATATTTTATTTTATTTTGTAGTTATTTTATTATTTATTATTTCATTATTGTGTTATTTGTTAATAAAAATTAATGACTCGAGTTCTTAAAAATGCAAATTAATTTTTATCCTCATCTCCCCTTCCTTGAAGATAGTGAAATAAATTCTGTATTTTGTTTACAGAAATAGAAATATCTTTAATTTACTTTTTGGAAATGGTTAAATTCTGTGCATATTTAAAATAATGAGTTTTATTTTTTCTGTATTATGAAATTACTATTAAAAGAATTAGCTCAAGATTGTTTAAATAAAATACCCATTAACAACTCTGAGTTGCACATATCAGTAGGAGTTATATTGATGCATTATGGGAATGTACCCATATGGAACTATAAATGTAATTTTGCCTCATACTCATTGAGTCTCTGTAAATTAATTGAATTGTTATTAGGTTTGTGCTCAGCTCTGTATGACTCCAAAAAAATAGTTTTGATAATTACAATGATTATTACTATTATGATTACCTGATGAGTAAGTGAGACTTTTCTAAACTATGATATCCTACGGGTATTAACCTGATTATATTTTATTATTATTCACAGGAAACAGCCTATCATGAGGTTAGAGATGCTTTTGCTGGTGAGACAGCACTTACCATAGAATGCTTAAATAATCTCAAGTACCTGGAACGATTCATTAAAGAGGTGCTAAGATTATATCCTTCAGTGCCCATGATTGCTAGAGAAATTTGCAAGGACATCAAGATTCCTAGTGAGTACATTAATATTGCGTAAATGAGATTGGAACTTCTGTTATATATATATTAACATGTTAAATAGAGGATCCTTATTCACACATGCTCATTTTTTTCCAAGTTATTAAATGAATGGAGTTGTTTTAAGTCTATAGTCAAAATAAGGTGAGTTTAGATTCAAGAGGACTAAAAAAAAAAAAAATCAAGAAGACCTTTCTTTACTTTGTTAATAATTTGTTTTTTTCTTTATCATATTCACATTGTAATAGGAAGTGCCTCGTTTCTTTGTTATTATATTGGGTTGGCAAATAAGTTCTTTTGGTTTTTCTGTTTATTTGTCACAATGATACACTTCTTATCTGATGAATTAATCCTTAAGGTGGATTGTTAATCCTGTTTGTAATATGTCAACAACTATATCTGTTAACTCTTGTTGAAACTAGCTTAATATTGTGTTTGCTATTGCACTGAGAATATGGAAAAAAATATTCATTATTGCCATATTTTGTTGTATCATTTAAAAAAAGTTAAGGCATATAGGTAAGCGTGCTGCAGAAGCTCATAGAAATATTTGCAGTGTTTATGGGAATGATGCCTTAACCGAACGCACCTGTCAAAATTGGTTTGCCAAATTTCATTCAAGAAATTTTAATATCAATGATGCTGAACGGTCTGCTCGCCCACATGAAATTGAAACAAGCTATGCTAACACCATTGTTGATCAAAATCCCACCCAATCAGTGTGAGAGATTGCTATGGCCCTAAATCTTTCATACACAAGCGTAGAAAACCATTTGCTCAAGCTTGGCTATGTTTCCAGTCTTAATGTTTGGGTGCCTCACATGATTTTTTTTTTTCGAAGATCAAAAAATGTTATAACTTCAATACGACTTTAGCTATCTACGAGAAAATTAGCAGTAATTTAGTGCCACATAAACTACACAAAATGACATCAATATGACCTTCGTAAACAAACTACAAATAGAGATAAAAAATGAAAACCTACAAGATGTTTTTGTTTATTTATCCCTTATGTTGGAATTAAATCAAAACATCATTCATACGTCTTTGAAGAGCAATAATTCAGCTTTACAGCGGATATAGTAACATCGAATTTGGAGAACATCCTGAAGAGTGAGTTTGGTGAACATCCTGAATGATCGGAAGGGTGTTCTGTTCCACCAAAACAACGCTGGGCCCCACACCTTATTGGTCACTGGCAAGGACATAACCTATTCTAACTAGAATAGGAAGGTCGAGATTCATTCTTTGGGTCTGCTATAAAGTAAATTTCAACTTGTCCTGACCAGATTCAAACCGGCAAACTAGTCTCAAGATGCTTTAAAATGCTTCGCCACTATGGCCTCAAGGAAGAATGATTTAGCTGAATAGCTAGAGCATAGTGATAAATGAAGATTATTCTTCATATCTACTTTCTAGTAATTACCAACTTTTATAATCCCAAGGCTCACTATTTTTATTTAATAAATAAAAAACTTATATATTTTTTTCCTTTTCTGTATAGTAGCCTTGGACCAATTTTTCTGAAAGGTATTTATTAATTAGTTATTCTGACCACCATTCATAAATCTAGAGATTATGATCATCAGATCTTACTACTCTCAATCATGCCGATGTGCTCTCACAAGTGGTATTCTATTCTTATTTATAACTACGTTATTAGTTAATTTCAGATTAAATCAAGGCAGTAATGACCCGAGTATAGCAAAGAAGGTCTGGAGGAAAATTGATTACAAATTGTAGAATTATATGTTTACCATATATTATATATTTTTTTTTTTTTTTTGTCTTTACATAAAAATGCACAAAACATTTGAATAGATAAAACATGTATATTGTTAATCTTTAATCAACTTTTAGACATTTAGGAAACCTCTTAGTTATAAGATCTGTTTCATTAAATTTGTAGCTCATGAATTACTCTTGGATTCACACATGTTGAAATGAGGTACTTTTTAAGTTTCGTCAATCAAATTTTATTACTGTTTTCATCTCATAACTAAGTTTCCTCTCATCTTTATTAAACTTCACTTAGGCATACCTAAAAACTTATTCTTCAATTTTAATAAATGCTTCATTTTAATTTGCAATAATTTATATTATTTTTTATTTGGTAGGTGGCTACTTGATTCCTGCTGGTAGCATAGCTACGGTAGTTATTGGAGGTATCCATCGAAATAAGAAATATTATAAAAATCCAGAGAAATTTGATCCTGACAGATTTTTACCTGAAAACATGGTCAACAGGCACCCTTATTCCTATGTACCATTTAGTGCTGGATCTCGAAACTGCATAGGTTAGTGAATGTTCAAGATCTAATACTTTCACTTGATTTTTATTAGTTTCCTTATTAGTTAATGTCTTGTGTTCATGGTTATGTTATGCATTTCAGTAAATCTATAATAATATTAAGATATTTTTTTAACCAGCTTAATTAATATTTATATCTGTAACTTCTACTTAAATTTCTATCTTATTCGAAGAATGCATTATTACTTATTAAAACAGGAATTTATTCAATCTCAGAATAATTCATATTTTCTTATCCTTTTTGCGTTTTACTTTCATAAAACTATTTAGTAATCATTGTGTTCAATATTTATTTGTAAATATATAGAAAACAACTAAAAGTGCTTGAATTTTTGATGTCTAATTTTAAAACTTGTGCAACATGGCAACCTGAAGAAATAAATTTTTTACTTGTTTTAAAAACTTTTAAATTCTCATACCATGTCATCTTAGTTTATTTTTATAAGTATAGTTATCATTTTAATTATACATAATATTGATTAGATTCATACCAAATTTCAAGATGGAGAAATGATGTGATCGATTGCAAGTAAATAAATCTAAATTTTAAGTTTTTTAAGTAAGTGCTTATGGTATAAAAGAAAGATTAAACTAGTTTCTACATTAAACTTTGTCTCGCATAATGCAGAAACATTTATTCAGTAATCTGAAGAACATTATATTGATGTAATATTGTATAATTGACAAATATATTATTACTATTTAAAAATGTCATTTATCAGTTTGTGATTGATTAAGATATTTTTATGAATTGAATGAATGAATGATAGAGATTATAGGGGTTTATTATGAATTGTAGGGGTTTTAATAAATGTTGTATGGAAATTTCATATTCTACTACCACATGTAAACGTAAATGGGTCTGCATAAACATAACATGAATTTGAGCAAAAAATGATATATCGGCCTTATGACCTTATTTCATTGAGATTGGTAAAGTTTGCAGTCTTTTCTTGTAAACATCTTACAAATTTTCTAGTCATCTCCTTGAACTGATATATCGGCCTCTTTCACTTTGAATATTATTTATATTGCTAATAAATGTATCAATCATTCATCAAGGGATCAAAATAAACATAAATTTAAGCAAAGACCGATATATCGGCCATATGACCATATTTTATTAAGATAGATAAAGTTTGCACTTTTTATTTTTAATTTATTTCTTTATTTATTTTTTTTTGCCCATCTGTCCCCAGATTTTCAGTAGATACTGAAATCCTATATATACCGATATATCAGTATTAATGTATTATGGAAGAAGCTATTTACTTATAATAAAATAAATTTGAATGAAAAACGTAAAGTTTTCAAAGCTGCGGTTAGATCAATTATAGGTTATTGTGCACAGGTGTGAGGGGAGGGGGGGGAGGTTGTGAATATAAAGAAGTGGAAAAAGTTCAGTGCTATTTTATTAAAAAAATATTAAATTTACCCAGATATATACCTGCATATATTATTCATATAGAGTTGAGGGCGGGGTGGCCGAATGGGCTAACGCGTGTGCACTGCACCGCCGTTGCCCGGCAACCGGATATATGATTCTATGATATGAAAATAGTCATGAGTTCGCGTCCCGGTGCCAGAGGGGGTTTTAAATTCCTCGCCCTCACCCTCTGGTCCGGGAAAATCCCATATAGCCTAAAAGGCGAGGTAGGGAAGAACAGGAAAAAAAAAAATAATAACAAATTATTCATATAGAAACGCAATTAACTCCGCTGTATCTAGAAAATATAAAAGTGCACCATAATTATACATGTAGAGTTATGCATTATTCGGATAATAGGTTACCCAAAATAATAGCAAATGAAATAATTAAAAAAGAAATAGGCTGGTATAAAGAGGTAAAACGTTTAACAAATCAATACCAAATAAATTTTTATTATAATAACACAAATATATGGAATGTGCCTTATCAAAAAGTAAGAGATAACCTGACAATAGAAGTAGAAAATAGGTTCAAAACCCTAGCAAAAAATTCAAATAGAACTAATATATACAAAGACTTGAATCATGATATATCAGGAAACAATTATTTCAATAAATAACACAATGAAACAATAATAAAATGGATATTTAAGGCCAGAGGAGAATTAATAAAATTAAACTGTAGGGTATAATAAACAAATAATACAAAACAAATAATACATTATGTTCATTACGTAATATGAATGAAATAGAAAATATCGTGCATTTCCTTGGTGTAGTCCTGTTCTGGCGGAACTTAGGAGAAGATATTTTGGAAAAGATAGCCTGACATTTGGGGAAATAATTGCACATTTGAATGGAATAAATTTGTTACATCTATCCTATTATTGTAAAGCAGCCTGGCAATACAGATATGCCTTATGCCAAGAATTTAATTATTAATTGATGAATAATGTTTAAGCGGAAAAAATTATTTATCTAATTATATTAAAATATCTATATTAAAAATTTGTATGTATTTATATATTAAAATTTTATTGTGTATTAATAATTGTGATATTAAGATTCGATATATTTTGTTTCTGTATTTATTAGCATTTACATTGTATTTATTAATATGATAGGTTTTAGTTCATGTTATTGTATCAATAATACTTGTTTTGCCCAGCCTCTGGCTGATGATTTCAAGAACCAAGCCGTAAATATTTGTTTTTTTATTGAGCTTGAATACTTTTGTTGTTTGTTATTGTATAAATAATCAATAAAAATTCATTCATTCATTCATTCATACACCGATATATCGGTCTCTTTCACATTGAATATTATTTTTATTGCTAATAAATGCGTCAATCATTAAGCAAGGAATCAACATGAACATAAATTTAAGCAAAGACCGATATATAGGTCTCATGACCTTACTTTATTGAGATTGGTAAAGTTAGAACTTTTTATTTCATTTTTTTTTTTCTTTTCAACATCTTCCAAATTTTCACTTTGAATATTATTTTTATTGTTAATAAATATGTCAACCATTCATCAATGGATCAACATAAACATAAATTTAAGTAAAGACCGATATATCGGCCTTATAACCATATTTTACTAAGATTGGTAAACTTTGCACTTTTTTTTAATATTTATTTATTTACTCAGCCTCTTTCACATTGAATATTATTTTTATTTATAATAATTGTTTCAATCAAACATTAATGGGTCTTCATAAAAATAAATTTAAACAAAGACTGATGTATCGGTCTTACGACTTTATTATTAAGATTGGTAGACTTTGAAAATTTTTTATTCATTAATTTTTTCTGTTTCTCACCTTATTCTGATTTGAGCAGACTCTGATATTTAAAAGACCAATATTTTGCCTGACGGGCTAATTTAGCCAAATAAGTAGAGTTTGACTATTGGTTTTTTTTTTTTTTTACTAATAAAGCGACCTTTCAACCTTACTTTATCAAGATTCAATGAGTTTTACTTGAAGCCGCGGGAATTTACGTTCTCACTGAAAGCTACCAATTACAAACCTAAACGAAAGATATGCCAGGTTGCCAATAAATTGGTCTTTCAGGGTGTTCCGCTACCGGGTATTACCCAAAAAGTTGGAGTTGTACATAAATTTCTCATGTACGGGAAAACTCCGGGAATTGTGTCAAAGTTTTTTTTAATTAACGTGTTTTTTTTGTTGTGTTACTTTTTAGATAAATAAGATTTTTCTTATTTCCTTTGTGATTTTTATTAAATCCTTTTATGATAAATAAGATTTTTCTTTACTAGAATTATATATAATATTTTTGGTCAGCAGTTGCCAAAAATAAAAGTTTAGCAGCTGCTAATATGTTTCTAATGATGTAAGTTTTTTGTTTTATTGGGTAATATAACTTCCTTATTATTGTAGTTAATTTATTTTTTCTTGAATCGAGGCTTGATGTTGAGAGAAATAAACTCAATAAAAGTAATTGTCTTCCTGTATATATTTACGGTTTCGGTCCTTCATCGGGCTAAATAAGATTTAAAAATTAACAACAATAAAAAGCATAATTTACAAATCTATCTATAAAATGATTGTGAATATTTAATAGTTTTCCGTGATTGAAAACAGCAATTAGATACATTAAATAAAATCTAATTATCACGTAATTTATGATGGTCCTCCTCTCCTGCTTGTCAGATGAAGAGTAAAAATAAAATAAAACTATTGTCCAAATGGGCTACCTTCTCCCCTCCCCTCAACCTCCCTCCCACTTTCTACATCTTGTTTTTATTAGCTACCACTAATTTAATGATTGCAGAGTTCTCAAATTGAATATTATTGACACTCAAACAAAATACGTTATTTTTCTGTTTTTTTTTTATAGGCCTCTGCATTTTTAAAATAATCCATTTTTTTCACTTTAGACACAGCATGTATGAGTTTTACGGTGCTATTTTTGTGTGGGTAGGAAGTAATTTCTAAATGATCCTTGAAATGAAATGCACTACCTGATCCATGGAAATTTTCTTTAATTCATTTTTTTAGTTTCCTTCAGATCTGCCCGATATAAACGGCAGACCAAGTAAATTCCATTCTTACACATAAGAGTTGGGATTACACTTGTCTCCCCATTCTCCAGTGATTATATTTAAATATGTTATATAGAATATTGTTATATTCACAAAAAATTATGGATAAATATTCTTATTTATTTAGAAAATATTCATTTTCTTTATAATTTACAAGTCGAAATACATCATATTCAATCTCGTAAATACGAGTATATGTATTACAGTATTGCAGTAGTAATTACAGGTATGTTAAAGAATATTGTTATATTAATATAAAAGTATGTATAAATAGACTTAATTAAATATTAATATTTTGTCAAATTTACTGTTCAGAATACAGATATTTGCATCAAGATACATGCCTTTAAAATTGCATACACCGATATATCGGCCTTTTTAATATTGGTATCAGCCAAAATTTCGATATCGATTGATTTCTAGTTCTGCTCTTCCTCGCCTTTTAAGCTATATAAAGTTTTCCCGGACCAGGGGGTAAGGATGGGGGATTAATGATAGAGTTCAAAGCCCCACTGGCATCAGGACACGAATTCATACTTATTTTATTCCATATAACTTTAGTTACCAGGTTGCCGGACAACTCGCGGGGCTGTGCACACACGTTAGCCCACTCGGTCACTCCTCTCCTAAGATACTGTGCTGTGGTATGAAGAATAGAAGAGGTCTTCTTTTCATTTCTGGATTATTATGTATTACTCCAGCTAATTTATATATACTTTCATTTAATATTAATCCATATTTTACTTAATATCATTCCATTGTGTATTTCACCAGACTATTTTCCATCAGGTCAATATTCTATTTCTCCTCCCTACAGCAGTCATCATCATTATTTTATATTCATTATTTCTATTTTTTATTAATATTAATCCAAGGAATGATTAATAAAATTTCCCTGCAGGTCAGAAATTTGCAATGCTAGAGATGAAGGCTTCACTAAGCCACATACTTCTCAATTATGAAATTGGAACAACTGAAGAGTCTAAATATGGAATGCTGCTGACACTGCAATCGTTCAATGGACAAAACGTTTGGCTTAAACCAAGACGAACAGCTTGAAAATTTAGTATTTAAGTTTATATTTTCTAGTATTATTGTTAAATATTTTACCAGCCAGGTATATTAATTTTTGTGCAAAATATTACTATAATAATCAATAAACTATTTCCACTTTCCCTTTATCTCTCCAGTAAAGGAACAACTTTCTGCTAAGCTGGCTACCTTTTGATAATTTTATTTATTTATTGTTTTATTTGTAATTTTCCTAAGTCAATGTTTGTAGAAATATATAAAGTGAAATAAATGCAAATTATCATCATAATTTTTAAAACATATCTGTCAAAATTGAATTATAACATTAAGTATAGTTATGGCACTTATGATTATTATAAATTAAATAATTATACAAGCTGTGGCTATCAAATAACGAGACTAATGCTATAAAACATTTTATTTTGATTTCATACATATTTATTATAATTACCACCCTATTACCACCCCTCCTCTATCCCTACAACTCTCCAGGCGAATTTTTACATTTTCCATGTCTGAAACAGTGCTGGTGGTCTTCTTCTGTTAGCTCCTGGATGATGCATGCCACTTTCTCTTTCGCAGCTTCAACAGACTCCAATCTTGTTATGTTAAATGCAGATTTCACTTTAGGAATCAGATAGAAATTGCATTGTGCAAGACTCTGTGAATAAAACGGATAGTGTAGCACTAGGATACTGTACTTGGCTAGAAACCTCTTGACAGACAATACGAAATCAGCCGGCGCATTGTTTTGATGAAGAATTTATGACTCATCCTTCCATTGGATCGTTTCTTCCTTATTCTTTCACAGAGTAATTCTTCTCGTATGTTGATTGATAGTTTGACCTTCAGGAATTCAATTGCACAATCCTGTGCTGGAAGGTTCACAATCCCATATTAGAAAAAAAAAATTTCCCATTACTTCACAGCCACACCTCATATCTGGTTTCAGAAAATGTTATTGGTTCATTTTGTTATTAATCTGTGAAATAATTTAACGGTGATTAAAATAATCACACCATAAAACAAAGTTATGGTTGCTATAACAAGGTATTAAAGGCAAAACAAATATAATTTCCTATGTATGATTGAAATATGGATATATAGTTTATTCTTCACTTTTAGTACTGTATAGTTTCTCAAACTGGACCATATTTTCTTATCGTTCTTCTCTTCTCTCTACTCTATCAAATGTGATTTTTTGGATTGTCACAACCATAGGACATGATTAGTTTTATCAATATCTTGGATATACTAGTCTTTACACTGATACTGGTGGTGGGAATAAGTTCAGTAAGTGTACCTTTTGTTCTTTTTTTTGCAACCTATGACTGTGGGCTGCCAAGAAATAAATATTAAATGAAATGAGCCTGTTGGGAAATGTACCCACAACGTTTAGATCCGGGTACTCTGGAATCCATGTCCCAATGTGCTCGGCCATCATATCCCCATCTTTGCACTTCATTTAATCCTAATGATAATGTTGATTAGAGAGGAATACATTATGTTTCCTCTACAGCTCTCTTTAGGGGTTTTTCATTTGGCTCTTCATGGTATTTCATTTCGCAAACGGGTTCTTGAAGGCTTAGAAACAACAAAATAGTTCAGAAGATTAGTCAAAAGTATAGCAAAAAGTAGATTCCCTTCTCATTGTTTGTATATAAACACTACCTTATTCCTAATCTCATTCACCTACAATCCAACCTCTGCCTTAACACTTGTGCAGTGACTGTCTTCATCTGTCCAATGAATACCAGTTACTCTCAACAGACTATTATCTACTGTGACATTTTAAGAACAGTACTCTTGCTTGATCAGTAGATTATAAACATATTTGTTCCAAATCCATTATTATTTTTTATCTATTATGATTATTTATTAATTGATTTCTCACAAATTCAGTTTTTAAGTTATCGATACTTGTATAGAATGAGTTGAAAAATGGTTCCTATAAGTTATATGTTATTGTAAGCATGTCTCAAGCCTTATAAACACTGTGAGGAAATTCGGAATTCACTGCTCCAAATCTTTACAAGTATTAGAGAAGAAATATGTGAGTCAAACTTCTTCATAACGGAACAAAGGTTTGAAGAATTATTGCAATACACATCACTCATGTGCACCACTTATTAACTATTTTCCAGTGGCCATCTGCTCATCCAGAAGGGTCAATCTTTTTCAAGCAAATATTTGAACATAATGTGTTCTCTTTTTATATTATAATCCAGCTAAGAACTTCAAATATTAAACAGGATGTTTCAGGGACAAGTGGCCAACTGCAAAAATGAACTAAGGGCCTCAAAACAAGAAAAAAATTTCTTATGAAGGTATGTCCGCAAACAATTTGATTAGGAGATATTCACACATAAAGATTTTTCGTTGTTATGAATTATGTACATTATATAAAATCTATTTATTTGTTATAACTACTTTATTAATTAAATGTAAACAAAAACATTCATATTAAATGTTGTTCAAAGTAATTTCGTTGAGCATTAAGATAGGCTCTGAATCTTTCAACACCAGCAGTTGCCACTTGCAACGACACTGGATATGTGTTATTGTTTCACAAGATTCAATTATCCTTTGTAAGGAATTTAGGTCATTGACCGGACTTGCATAGACTTTTTGTTTAATGTCACCCAAAACAAAAAAATCCAGTGGTGTCAGGTCTGGAGAGCATGCACACCAAGCCACTGGTTCTGCACGGCCAGTCCATTGATTGGGATATGATTGAGCAGGTCCAGTCAAATAACCTTAATTCCTTATGGAGAAAGATAACTGAATCTTGTGAAACAACAGGTATCCAGTGGCGTTCTGCCGCTGCTGTTGAAGAAAAATACAGAACCTGTCTTAATGCTCAAGGAAATCACTTCGAACAACATTTAATTAATAAAGTATTTAGAACAAATAAATAGATTTTATTTATTTCATACAACGTAAATAATTCATAACAACGAAAATCTTTAGGTGTGAATATCTCCTAAACAAAGCGTTTGAGGTCCTTTGTTCATCATTGTAGTTTGGTCTCTTAGCCCTGAAACACCCTTTATTTAATTACCTGCCAACAAAGATTAAAAAAAAATTCCCTAAAACTTTAAAGAGCTTTGGGCCCCAACTTAACTTGGTGAAAAAGTTGCTTCAACATTCCGATCATATGACTGCTTTGAATACGTAATTTAACTTTCGTAAAATTCCCATAAGGGGGTCCAGTATTCCAAGTTACGCCATCAAAATTTTTTAGGGGTTTTGAATTTTGAGGAGGGCACATTTCGATGTTATGAGTTTTCGGAATGAAAAGTTTCAAACCAGGAGATAAGGAGGAACATGGAACAGACCGCAGGAAGTGAAATGATCTACAATTTTTTAAATTCTACTTTTATTTGCACTGTTTTAAGAAGAGATGAGCAATAAAATGTCTTGGAAGGGGTAGGGACCCCTGACAAAGCTCTTAGTCCATGCCTATATTTGGATGTTGGTTATTTGGAATTAGAGGACCTCAAAACTTGTATGAATAACGTAGATATTTGGTGGGCCGACCATGTGTGCTCGCTGGGTTTTCATTGAGAACTTGGATTTCAAGTTTTTCACGACTAATACTTTCCCTTACTATATAACTCATATATTGGTAAGTGGAAGTAAAAACAAATACTGGTGCAGTGCACTTATAACAGGACTTTCACTTACCACCCAATTTTGATAGGAATAAAGGTATTTTCATAAATAGAGACAGTGGCCGTGTGAGACAATGTGCTGGCCTTAGACATTTGGTGTCCCCAGGCAATGACGTCATCTCTCCTTAAAAAAAATTAAATTTATTTTTTAAAATGTTTTATATTATGCAATACTCGAATTTTATTTCATTCAATATTTCTTTAATTCAGTTTCTTTATTGATAGGCGAATTAATTATTTTTATTTTAATACGTAACAAGTGGCGAGCGCTCCTGAAAATCGAATGGAGCACATCCAGGCCGGCATTCCGGTTGCCCTGCCCTAAGGCCGCCACTGAATAGAGAAATGAAAGTAAAAACTATAACCAGGGTATAACAATAACAGAACAACACTCTGAGCTGTTTGTGGTTATATAGTGAATCCTATACGGATGGGTGTTTTCCTGCCTGTACCATATGCTGAACTTTTTCTATAAATCCATTAAAGAGCCATTTTCATGCTAAGATTGTGAAATATCGGATGTCTCTTTAGAGGGTTTTCATTTTGAGAAGGCACTATGGAACAATTATTCAACTTCTCACTATGACAAGAAAATTTACCCATCTTGGAAGATTATCCGTTTTTCATATCATAAATGAAGTAAATATGGCGTTAAACTCAACAAATAACTTACAAGATTATGTAGTGTACCGACTTAATATAATTGGTGGAAAATTAAGTACCCGAGTCATTTGGGGGCGCCGGCCAGGGACGCTCGCCACTTGTTATAAATTTAAAACAAAATACAAAACGTCTTAAAATAATTAATTTTAGGCTATCAATAAAGCATAAAGTATTAGAGAAATATTCAATGAAATAAAATTCAAATACCACATAAAATAAAAAAGCTTAAGAAATAAATAAAAATTTGTAGGAGAGAGGGAGATTACATCATTACCCGGGGAAAGCAAATTGTCTAAGGCCGGCACTGACCCGAGTACTTGACATTATATATTTGACTTATCGTTTTTCTAAGGCGAATGGATATACCAGAAGCTGCATTTATGTGTATGAACTGTATTTATTTTATTTCTGTTATGTATGTGATAAAAATTTCTATTGGTTTCAAGATGGAACCAATCTGTTTAAAAATATACTAATTATACATTTAATATGAATAAGAAAGGCTAGATACCACAGGCGGATCTACGGGGGGGCTTTCGGGCTGAAAATGGTGAAATGTAACCATGTTTTACAGAAAAATATATTAAAAACTATCTCTTAAAGTATTATTGTTCGTGTAATTATATTTAATAGGACTTCAAGAACCACTTAAACACCATTTCATATAGGTAATTAATTTCTTTATTTTTTTCAAATTAATTATCGTTATATGTATATGAAAAAAAATCTTTCGGGCTGAAGCCCTCCCAAAATTAAATCCTGGATCCGCTAGTGCTATATCACAGCTCCCTCTTTGTTGTGATGTACTAGATTGCGTAATATTTAATGTTAGATTCCCTTTACAGATGTACCATGTTATCAATTTACTATTTAATGTGACTGGCAGGCATCAGAATGTCTAGAAATAAATTTCAAAAATGCGTGAGCAGCAGAGCTCCGTCACTAAGGTTCCATTTTCCACTTAATTTTTAAAAAATAGAAAGGGATTAGATTGTTCATTGTCGTTAAATAGAATAATTAACACTTTGCAAATTATTACCCAATGGTTTATTATATTCAAATAGTTATAAGTTCAAAAAGTATAGCGAACGGCTTT